AGTGAAGACTTGAGTCATTCTGGAGATGTCCTAGACAGAGACTTGAAGGACCAAGATGGAAAACTACTTATCACCAAGTTGCCCTACTAAACACTGGAACCACTAGGGGGTGCTGCAGTCACCCACCTGCTCATTTTTATTTTATTTTATTTATTTATTTGTTGGCATTACTGGGGGTTTTGAACTCAGGACCTCATGTTTGCTAGGCAGGTGCTCTGCCACTTGAGCCACTGTACAGCTCAGTGTCTTGAGACTTGACAGGGTCTTGCTATTTGGCCTCCTCAAACTCACATCCTCATCCACCCTCCTGAGTGCTGGGATTTCACTTGTGCACTATGCCTGGATCTTAAGTAGCACTGAATGAAGAAAAAACATGCCAAAATATCTATAGAAGGATGTATGTATATATACACACAATAATATAATATATGCACAATAATATGGAGAGAATAATGAATTTAACAAATTTAAAACATGCACACCTACAACAACTCTGTTTTTAAAAAGACAAATGCACCCCATTTAAATGAGGTTCATAGATAGTCAAATGCGTGAAGACAGAGTAGAAAGGTGCTTGGGAGACTGGAGGAGGAGGGAAACGGGAAGTCCCTGTTCAATGGCCACAGAGTGTCAGTTTGGGAAGGCAAAGTTCTGGGGAGAGATGGTGGTGATGGTTGCACAACAGTGTGAGTATACTTAAGGCCACAGAACCGTTCTCCTAAGTATGGTTCAAATAGTATTTTACCATAATAATAATTTTCAAAGACAGATACGTATCTGAAGTCATGCCATAGAGAACACAGAGGGTTGGGGTCTGGAGGGATGGGAACAGGGACAGGGTTGAAGGGGATAAACTTGGAAGACTGCCTCACCAAAGCCGCTGCTGGCAGAGACTTGAAAACCCAGGGTGTGTGTGGCTCTCAGTGGTGCACAGGCCCTCAACTGCTGTGTAGTATCTTTTTGGTAGCAGGAGTGTTTCAAATAACTTAAGTAAATTGGTCAAGAATGCCAAGTTTATAGTAATGGAGCATGTGGAGAACCCAGACAGTCTTCCCTGGCCTAACAACCCTCCCACCTTTCAGTATTCCTCATTGTGTGACCGATGGTAGTCTTCCACGATGAAGTACTCATCCTTATGTGTTTGAGGTTAACTCCTTAAGATGATGCTCTCCAGTTCCATCCATCAACCTGCAAACAACAAAATTTTATTCATCTTATGGCTGCATAAAATTCCATTGTGTATAGATACCACATTTTCTTAATCCATTTGTCAGTGGTGGGGCATCTTGGCTGTTTCCATAGCTTGGCTATTGTGAATAGTGCCACAATAAACATGGGTGTGCAGGTGTCTTTATTATAAACTGACTTACATTCCTTCAGGCATATCCCTAAGAGTGGTATTGCTGGATCCTATGGCAGTTCTATGTTTAGTTTTTTTGAGGGCTCTCCATACTGTTTGCCATAGTGGTTGTCCTAGCTTACATTCACACCAGCAGCGTATGAGGGTTCCTTTTCCCCCACATCCTTGCCAACATTTGTTGTTGGTGGTGTTTTTGATAGTTGCTATTCTAACAGGAGTGAGGTGGAATCTTAGTGTGGTTTTGATTTGCATTTCCTTTATGGCTGGGGATGGGTGAGCATTTCTTCATGTGTTTTTTAGCCTCTTCCTTTGAAGAGGCTCTGTTCAGTTCATTCGCCCATTTCTTCATCAGATCATTGATTTTTGGGGGGATTTTGGTTTTTTGAACTCCCTGTATATTCTGGTTATTAATCCCTTGTTAGATGTACAGCTGGCAAAGATTTTCTCCCATTCTGTGGGTTACCTGTTTAGTCTGGTGGCCATTTCTTTTGTTGTGCCATCTTAAGTGAAGTTAGCCAGGTTTAGAAAGCCAAAGGTCACACGTTTTCTCTCATGTGGAATACAGACCCAGTTCAAATACAAATACAAGCAAGATACAGACTAAGGGAGGAGGAAAAGAAGAGAAAGAAGACAGCGAATAATAATGAAGTACATTCATCTGTGCAGGAACAAAATGCAAGGAAATATGCTGAAAACTGTTAACACATATAGGGGAAAAGGGTGAAGAAGTGCAGTGGAAGGAGGTTACGTTGACTTAAGCACAGTGCATGTATGGGTAACAGCAAGGCAAAAATCCCTCTGACCAATGAACAGACACCTACAATGAAGGACAAGAATGAAAAACAGTCCACCCTAAGGGGAGGTCTAATGGGAGGGGGAGGATAAAAGAAGGAAGTAAAGAAGGTGGTGAAGTGGTTCGAGTAGTAGAGTACCTGCCTAGTAAGTTTGAGGCTGAGTTCAAGCCCCAGTGCCACCAAAAAAAGAAAAAAGGTGAATATGGTTGATGAACTGTTGATATAAGAATAATATAAAAATTTTAAACCTGTCGAAATCGCCTTAAGAAGAGGACTAAGGTAGAAAGGAGAATAGAGGAGATGAACCAGTTCTGGATGTAATAAATATATACATGGAAATGTCATAAGGAAACTGTATAAATCTCTTAAACAAACAAAAATGTCTTTTTAAAAAAAATGGAGCACAGGAAGGTGAAGCAGATCCTGTCTGGGGGTTGGTACTAGTGGGAAGGGGGGAGGAGATAAGAAAAGGGTGAAGGAGGGGAGAATATGGCAGAAATACTATGTACTTGTATATGAAAATGGAAAAATGAGACTTGTTGAAACTAAGAATGGGGGAGGGGGGATAAAGGAGAATGATGGAGGGGGTGAATTTAACTAAGATATAGCATAAGCACTTTTGTAAATGTCACACTGTACCCCCAGTAAACAAAAATATAAAAAAAGAGATATTTTTAAAAAAAGATTAACTCCTTAAACTCTTGCCACTCTGTCCCGGTGCCTTCTCAGAAACTGCCAAGTAAATGTAGCTGGCTGGATGTCGTTCTGTGACTCCCCTCCCACAACCATTTTTGATTTCTGGTTTTTGTTTGGGGCAGAACACAAACGACATTAAATACTGTTCTGGTTTTTAGTCCATTATTTAAACTGCTCCAAGCCATCATTTTAAGTCAGCGCTGTGTGTGTGAAAACAATAAGCCTTTTATAAAGTATTGTTACTGGAACCCATGCGGCTTCAGCTTGGTCTCCAAAAGGGAGGAGGCCTCTATCTGGCCCTTGGTACCAGGTTCGTGATGTCGTTGCAAAAAAGAATTGTAGGACACATGGAGGTAGAGACCAAGAAGTTTATTAGTAAAGCAAAGCAGAGTATAGTACACACCCAGACATGGCTGCGGGCACACCTGAGAAGAGGCATGCTGAGTGCCCTAACATCAGGGTGTTTATGATGAGAAGGTGGCTGGGGTTTGGCTTAAATTCACCTCAGGATAAGTACTTCCCTTTGTTGTGGACACTGGTACTTGCAATCGTTCTTACATCACACTGCACTATCAGTATGTCCAGAGATGTCAAGTCCAGACAGTTTACTAAATGTGGGTCATTGTGACATAGATGTCTTTTCCTTAAGCAAAGATGGGTTTCATCAGATGCTCCTTTAAAGTCAGGTGTCCTTCCTTATGATAAGTGTTCCTTCTTTGCAATCACTTCTGTGATCAGAGGAGTCATTTTATCAAGTATTTTATTCCCAGGACAGCATCTTTCCCTGAGATGTCCTTGCTCATTTCCCAGAGTGTAGTGAGCATTTGGGAAGTGGGTGAGGTCAGGGGAGAGAGCTGCCTCTTCACTGTAGGTTGTGGCTCAGTGCGGGAGTGCGAAGCTTAGAGCAAATCAAGTAGTGCTGTGTGCTTGTCACCATGCTAGTCACCAGTGCAGCATTCACCTCTGAATTTCTGTCTCCTGTTTCTCATGCCTTGCTGCCCCTGGTCTGCCTTGCCTCAGTGTAAACAAATGGTTAGTGATGTTAGGAATGAATGAAGTCAGGATGGAGCAAGAAGAGGCATTGCCAAACAGGTTATACTTGCTACTTGTCAGGGTGGCCCTGGGGTCATCTCATTGACCATGCAAGGCCTGGAGAGGGTGTTAAGACCCAGCCTTCTGGGTCCCCATGGGTGTTTGTTTGCCTTGGTGGCACAGTATGAATGCAGATCTAGCTGAGCTGAGTACCAGCCATTGTGTATTATGCTAACGGTGTCAGTTATCTGTGCTTTACATCAAAACATGTAAATGTTTTATTAATTTGTCACTGAAGTCAGGGTTGCAGTGCCCATTTCTCTAAGCCCTGGCACTTGGCAGGACAGTGCAAGGCAGAGATGAGGACTATTGGAGGTGGCTCCCATGTTCCCTGGTCCCCTCCCTGCCCCCTTGGTTTTCTCAGGTCTGCAGAGACCCTGCCTCTGGGAGGCCTGCAATTCTGGGATGGAATTGACTTTGACTCAAGCCTGGGCTGCAGTGTGAACTTGACCAGCAAGGTGGTATGGGAAGACACCTTCCATATCCTGTTTCCTCTGGGAACTCAGATCATCAAACCCTTCCCTGGCAATCCCAGCCCTCTCTCCAGTGCTGCATGGTGTGGTCTCCTTATGACCGACCTTACTACCCCATGTCATTAGTTTTTCCTCTGAGTGTGAGCTTGTTGGGTGGAGGGGCCATGACATGGAAAATACAACACTGAATTTCCAGCAGGTGACACCAGGCTTGGCATAAACCTGGTATTCAGAAATTAGTGGATGAGTGGAAGAATGAAGGAGTGAATGAGAAAGGAGGGACAGAAGGGGGCATAAGGATATCACGCTCTGGCATGGAGACTCAACAGGTTTGAGGTATGATAGTTTATAAAATGAATCTGCTTGCAGGTTACCAGATGAGTTTCCCTGTAACCATGGATACTTCTTCATAAGGGTCCCTGTCCTGGGACTGTGATGGCCCAGGCAGGGGTCTAGGCTGCTAGTCACAGACTCACTCATACCTTCTGAGAAAAGGTGTTTACTGTTTTGGGTAACTGGCCATTCAGAGGTCATCAGCATGGTCAACTTTAAAATCATCTCAACATTTCTTTTCCTGGATTTCAGAGTGAAACATCTTTCAACCTAATATCAGAAAAATGTGACATTCTGTCAATTCTTCGGGATCATCCTGAAAACAGGATTTACCAGAGGAAAATCCAGGTGAGGCAGAGGGTGGGTGACAAGGATACTAAGTTAAGAGGGCTGGAGTTGGCAGCAAAGCTGTCATCTAATATCTCTTTGAAGACGTAACTAAGAGTTCAGACCAGGCAAATGAAAAGCACTTCCAGAATATTCGGATGTTGGCCATTTGCCTTTAGAAAGGAAATCTTTCCTTGCTAAAACAAAACCCAAACCATTTTTTAAAGCCAAGTATAAATCTAAGTACTTGAGTTCCCACCATGCCTTTGTCACTGTGAGGCAAGTACTTCTGTCCTCTGCATTTTACAGTGGAGAGACTGAGGTGCAGTCCCACAGCTCCTGAGTGGCTGAGCTGGGATTTGAACTCAGTCAGCTTGATTTCATAAACCACAATCATAACTGCTGTACTAGGCACCTCTCAGCACATAGGAGATGGGTTCAGGGCCACAGGGTTCACTCCAGGAACCAGGCAGTAAGAGGAACAGGGCCCCCATCTCTCCGGACCACATGTCAGGGGAAAGTTCTAGTACTAACGGAAGATGCTGCCCAGCCCCACCAGCCTCTCCTTTGAGTTCCTTGCAGACATACAACAGCCGCTGGTCCCTTACTTATTCCAAGAGGCTCAGTCGTCAGTCAGCAACTCTGGGTGATGTTGCTGGCATGAGATTCACATGTGGCCTAAGGGTCAGGAACAAGGGCCAGGGGGCATGCTGACTCTCATGTCTTTCTCAGGAGATGAGAACCAAATCTCTGTGGAGCACTGTCCCCCACCAGCCGGTCTCAGGTAGCCCAAGGCCAGCTCCATGCCTTCTTGTCACTGTGGTGGGATGGGCTTCCTGACCTCTTGAAAACTACCCTGTTTTGGCAGAACCCTGACTGCTGCCCCATGAGGCAGGGAGGGAGGAGTCCAGACCACTTCAGAGGGACACTAGGAGCAGGGCTGCAGGAGGGATGGTGTGAGCACTTCTCACTGTGGAGAAATGTTTGGAGGACTGCCCAGGGGGCCTGTTCCTCAAACTCTGCAGCCTCTTCTCCACCTGCCACATTCCCCTACACCAACTGTCTGCACATGGCCACACTTCCAGCTCTGCTCCAGCTGCTGCTCCTGTTAGCACCCTCCTTCTAGGAAGCCTTTCCTGACTTCTGGCTCCAAGGCACCCCAGCTAGTGCTCCCCATCCTCAATCACCATCATCTAACATTCTGTCATTTCCTGAATACAGGCTGCCAGGGGTCAAGAGCAAGCTCCTCCATGCCTGACACCCAGGCCACAGTCAGTGTATTCATGTATCCATGGGAGGGGAGACTGAAGGGAAGGAGTGGTGTTATCTGGGAGAGGTAGGACTGGAGCCTGCATCCGTGCCAGTGCCTGACCCATAGGAAGACAGCTAAGCCATTATTGCTATAAATGTCCACTGTCCTCTGCCCAACAGGAACTGAGCAAAAGATTCACTGCAATCCGCAAGACTAAAGGCGATGGGAACTGCTTCTACCGGGCCTTGGGCTACTCCTACCTGGAGTCTCTGCTGGGCAAGAGCAGAGAGGTTCTCAAGTGAGTGGCGCTGGAGGGGCTCACTGGGCTTCCCTGGTTCTTGGGGCTTGGTCAGCCTTGGATCTCCTGAAGGGAGGGCTGCCTGGCAGAGGAACCTGATGCTGAGTAAGCCCAACTGCCTGCCATGGTGGAGTTGAGGGCAGCCCAGAGGCCAAGGAGGGCATTGTTGGTCTGTCTGATGATGCTTTCCAGCTCTCTGCTTTGCCTGCAGGTGCAGGTCAGTCCAGGTGAATCCCACTGGGTGGGTACTTGGTAACTCACTGCAAAAAGAAAAAAAAAAAGTGAAACTGTTCCCTGGGTTGTGAATAATCCCTTCTGACCTTGGTCTTGAGTGTTGCCTGGCCAAGCTCAACTCTAGGTTAATACCAGAGAGTCTTTCTGTACAGAGCTGATCCTGTGGTGACCCTTTGGTAGCCCTTCATGTTTTGTTGGTCCAAGGCTCCTCACGCTTGGGGGATTGTATGGCTCCTGGGGTCTCTTTAGGATGCTAGTCCTTAGTCAGTAGGTCTAGGGTGGGTCTGAGGTAATGCATTGCTTGACAGCTCCCTGGTGATGCCCATGCTGCTAGGCCTCAGAGCACACTTGAGTAGCAAGGAATGGAGAGCCAGCTGGTTCTGAACCTTCAGTGTCTCCTTGTTCTTAGAGGATTTACTGAAGGCCTGCTCTACTTACCAGAGACATGTACCTACACACAAGCTTTGGGATTGAATCACTCTGAGGCATGAAATATGTCCCCTTGCCTCTAGTTGTGGAAACCCTCATGGGAAACTCTCCAAAGCAGGCCCTCCCCCTTTTTGCAGCCCCTCACAGCCACCCAGAATTCAGGCACAAGACTCTCGTCCTAATACATGAGCGCTTGCATGGTATCTGGCGCTACCCCACTCCCGAGCCAGCTGTTCATAACTACATGTTGTGTCTGCTCTTACCGCCCTTTCTCATCCCCTGCAGTGCGCCAGGCACCCTGTGCAGTCTGCCCAGACAACCATGGCAATTGCTTGCTCCCTTATTGGGCTGTCACAGACCTGAGTGACACTCCTCCAGCATGCCTCTTGTCTGCCAGGGTCTGTGCAGAGGACAACACTCTTCCTTTGATGGAAGCCACTGTCATTGTAATTTTATTTCATTATTACTATTTCATTGTAACCACTTGGGTGTTAACTCCTGGTAGCATAATTCTTGCAAACATCAGCTCATTAGCTCTCAAGTGAGCAGATACAAACTGGGAGCATCCTGCAGAGGGTCCAGCAGGTGCCACCCAGTGAAGTGCAAATGGCTGGGGGTGGGTGGGTGGTGTGTGCTTGGACAAGAGATGAGGGTAAGGAGGGAGGGACGGCCCTGTGAGGAGCTCTGTGCTGAGGGCAGAGGCCAGAAAACATGATATGTTGGAGAAGCATGTCAGTCGCTCTGGAGGTTGCTATGCAGAAGGAAGAAGGAAATACTGGGCTTATCCAGGCCAGACAGTGATGAGAGGCAAGGGCTGTAGGGACAGGAAAGAGAGACTGGGTCAAGAGGCCTTTGAAAGGTGAAGCACCATGTCTAGGTGGAATGGATGGTAACTGTCTCCATTTCCTTGTCTGCAAAATGGGTGCCCAGCCACCTCCTGGGGTCATTCACCGTGGCAAGTGCAGAGCCAGTTAATGTGGGGTCCACATGGAAGTGCTCTGAAAGGTCAAAAGGGTTTCTCTTAGTGACACAGCCCCATCAGGTGTGGGGTTGGTGTGTTGCAGCAGCACCCGGCCTTCCCCCATAACTGTCCAGTCTTCTCGCCTCCAGGTTCAAAGAGCGTGTACTGCAGACCCCAAATGACCTTCTGGCTGCCGGCTTTGAGGAGCACAAGTTCCGAAACTTCTTTAATGCCGTGAGTTCACCTGGGCTGTGCCAGCTGAGGAGCCAGGGCCTTGCATGTGGGCAGAGCAGACAGGAGCAGGTGCTGCCGAAGCACCTCAGCTCTGTGGTTGTACTCCCTCCTGCTGCTCCTGGCTGGGGCTGGGGAAGGACAGGGTCACTTCCTGAATGGGTGGCTGTGTGGAGATGTATGTTTGCAGAGAACCCATGCTCCGACTTCTCAGCCCCCTGCAGGTCCGAATGTGTGGAGGAGACCTAATGCCTATTGCTTAGGTGTACCTCTGGCTGCGGCTCTAACCCCCACTTGCTTGGCTTTGGCAGAATCTCTGGCTGATTTTCTGTCACAGCCTGAGAATCTCCAAATATGTCTGAGGGAGTCCCATGGGCAGGGTGGGTCTTGCCAGTGTCTGCCCTGCTGATGGCAGTGGGGTGCAGTTTTACAGCGTGATAGAATTGGTAGAGAAAGATGGCTCCGTGTCCAGCCTGCTGAAGGTGTTCAATGACCAGAACTCCTCGGACCAAATCGTGCAGTTCTTGCGCCTGCTCACATCAGCCTTCATCAAGAACCGAGCCGACTTCTTCCGACACTTCATTGATGAGGAGATGGACATCAAAGACTTCTGCACTCATGTAGGTCCCTGGGGTCTCCAGCCTTGGGGACACAGTCCCAACCCTGGGCTGTGCCCTTATCTGTATTTGAGCTGCCAGAACATATGATTTTGGGGCAAGTCACTCTCCTCCGTAGGGATTTCCTATCAGGAAGTCAAGACTTTGGACTGGCACTGGTGGATCATGCTTGTAATCCTAGCTACTCAAGAGGCAGAGATCAGGAAGAACTCTGAAGCCAGTTCCAGGCAAACAGTTCTCCAGACCTTATCTTGAAAACACTCAACACAAAATAGGACTAGCAAAATAGCTCAAATGGTAGAATATCTGCCTAGCAAATGTGAGGCCCAGAGTTCAAACCCCAATACCACCAAAAAAAAAAAAAAGACTCTGCACTGGCCTCTTTACACAGTTGCAGAGTAGCTTCTAGACACATTTCACCCCAAGACATGTTCTTATTTATAATGAATTTATTTGAAGGAATGGCCAACATGTAAACATTGGGCCATTTTCATATGGTTATCTGGACTTTTAATAATCAGATCAACCCCACCCCTCCCAGGCACTAACTCTTGGGTGATAAATCAGTAGGTACTAAATAGCAGCTACCCTCTCTCTGTGGGACACTGCCACCACCTCTGTCCTTCATCGTCTCTTTGGCATCTGGACTCACCCACACCTGTTGGCCTGACCTCTATAGCGCTTAAACTTGGAATCAATCCCTTTATGACAGACAGGGTCTCTTTCAACTCTAAGATCCTTTGATGCTAACCTGAAAGATTCTTGCCCCTGTCCCTGACCCTAAAGAAGCAGAAATAAAAATATCCAGGTTCGATTTCTGAAACCCCAGCCTTTTCTAGCTGTGTTGTTTCCTCTCCATGAGCCTCAGCTTCCTCTGTGAAATGAGGGTGTCAGATTGTTACGAAGATTGCATCCCAGCATAGCAGCTATGACCAGGATCCTGAGAGCTACAGCTGAACTCACCTTCTCTGCCTGACCACCCTCCTAAGCTGGCTTGTATTCTCATTTTGGCTTTGCAGGAAGTGGAGACCATGGCCATGGAGTGTGACCACATCCAGATCACAGCCCTGTCCCAGGCACTGAACATTGCCCTGCAGGTGGAGTACGTGGACGAGATGGACACTGCCCTGAACCACCACGTGTTCCCTGAGGCTGCCATTCCTTCCGTTTACCTGCTCTATAAAACATCCCACTACAACATCCTTTATGCAGCCGATAAACATTAATTTTAGGCCATGCAGTGGAACCTGTCACCTAACGGACTGCATTCTAAATGGAACATTCCGGCTTTTCAATTTTTTAAGCGATTTAGACTGTAGCTAGATTATGTACAGCCTTCTGGGCCACGCCATTGGGAGTGAGACCTGCCCATTATGGACTGTGGTAACTTGGTGGGATTTTTAGTATTTATTTTGATGGAGGACTTAATGCCTGCTAACTCTGGGCCAGAAAGCCAGGACTTGTGGCTCTGCACCCCAGTTCTCTGTGAGACCCTCTTTGGACCTGTTTATTCATCTGGAGGAGGTTCCTGACAGTGTTGACATTCTATTGTTTAAAAAGAGTGTCTTCTGGTTTCTTTCCACCGGGGGCAGTGCCCCTCCGCAGGGAAGAAAAGGTCAAGGTCATGATTCAAGTGACTTAGCAGCTATCAAAAAGAATCCAGTCACGTCATCCCATCATGTTAAGCTGGGCATTGGCAGATGACTGAATGTGAGGGCGTCCGTGTAGTTCCATTCACAATAGGCATGCTTTCCCGCCCCCACTTCAGGAGAAAAAGACTTTTATGCTGAAGTCCAGAAAAGGGCCTTTAGCTTTCAGCATGAAGCTCAGGTTGTTGGGGTCTCTAACTTTCAGGGGCAGAACTCCTGACTTTTGGGTCAGGCCTTTGGGGCCTGAGCCAGATTCTGTGTGTTCACATCCGTGACCAGGAGGCTGCAGCTGTCTATCATCCCCACCAAATCCTAGAAGTAAAATCTAGGTACTCAACTGGGTAGGCATGCATACAGCATGAATGCTAGCTAAACAGAGCAGATGTTTTGCAAGGCTCTTTGCCCCTCCCCATGGCCTTGTTGGGGTGGGGGGTGGGAGTTAGGTGGGAAATAAGGTAAGAGCCATGGAAATTTGCAGTATGGGAGATTTCCATTGATGGAAACTTGCAGTATGGGAGATTTCCATTGATGGAAACTGCCTCATTCATCCACCCTCTAAATAGCCTCCTCACCTGGCTGCCTCAGGTCCTCTAGGAGCCCACCCTGGGCTGGCAGGAAGAGGGCACCAGTAGGGAACCAACCTGGCCAGGCTGAGGTACTACAGGCTCCTTCTTTCTCTGTAGGACAATACAGGGTATGAAACTGCCCTTTGGGGTCCTTCCTTGTTGAAGGGCACCTTCTCATAGGTCTCATTTTGCAGGGATTTGGTGGAATCCACTGGTGCTGCTGTGCAATCTGCTGACAGACTGCACAGAACTGTATAGCAGACTCCTGAGTTTTGGTGACACAAATGTCGTATTTGTATCACCTATCTTGCCTTGGTGAAAGCCAACAGTACTCAGATGTCAGGGTGCTTTAGTTCCAGGTGGGGACCCCGGGTCCCACACTGCCCTTGACTGCCATTTGGATCCAAGGGCTCAAGCTGACTGATGGTCACTTTCCACAGAATGTAAACCTGACCCTTGTCTCTGAATCTGTTCAGTGTCCCACCCTGCTCTGAGTATTAGTGTTGGGGTCTGTGACAAGTACTCTGAAAGAATGGGGGCACACAATTCATTACTGTTATCTTCTGCCAGACCAGTCTCCTGGGCATGTTTCTAAACAGAAGGGTATGCACATGGAGCCTGACTGATACCCTGGGTCACGCCAGGGGTATATATGGGTCCTGGGCTACTTCTCTGCATTTTGTGGCTTGGGGTGTTGGCTGTGCACATCTGCTGGTTGACATTCCTTCTGAGGCTTACCTATACTGTACTTCCAGGCCTGGGAGCTGCTGACACCCATACAGGACCATCTTCCAGTAGACAATGTTAGGATTGATGCCCAAACTGGCAGAGGCAGGCCAGGTTATTTCTATGGTCTTACCCACTGCTTTTCTTCTTTCTTCACAAGAAAAAAAATGGTCAACTGTGGTCACCTGGCTTGTCTATGGTTCAGTCATGCTGTCAGTCGCACTTCATGGATGACCCCTCAACATCCCAAAGAGCCTTATCTTTTTCTGGAAGGAAAGGTGCTTGGAAGGCCAGTCATTACAACTGGATGTGGATTACATTGTTCCCAGAGGAAACAATCAATGGGAAAATGTAGCCACATAAAGAGCATTGTCCTTTGCTGGGTTTCCATTCTAACAAAAGGGCTCTGGAGCCAGACTACTAGGGTTCAAACCTCAGTTTTATTACTTAGTAGCTGTGTGACCTTGTCCAAGAACCTTCACCTCTTTGAGCTCCAATCTCTATAAGTGAAATGGAGACAATGCCTACACCCACAGGATTTTTGCTTAAAATGAAGTGAGATTATGCTTGTGAGAAGAACTGTAGAAGAGATGCTCCCAACACACCCACTGCTAGCTGGGGAAGTGTGCCACCTCAGCAGTGACCATGGCTTCTCAAACAGTGTAAACCTCAAGGGAACCATCAGAGCAGTCTTAAGAGTGAAACACACTGCAGCCTAAGTAGTAATGGAGTAAGGGGGCTGTGGCCAAGCCCTACAGTTTCCCTGGGAGTAGGTGAGAACATTTTCCTAGCATTAAACTGGTTTCTATAAACAACTTTTTTGTCCTGGCTTTTTGATATTGTATACCTGGCACTTGCCTAAGAGCAATACCCACCTTTTATGGGGCATGTATGGAAGTGGATTATGTGGGGAAGAAAGTTCGTTTTAATAGCAGAATCAGAACATACAGAAAACTGCCCAGATCTCACCAAAACCTTACCACACTTAGGTGAGAGAATGGTCTCAGAGGCTGCCCTATCTTTTAAAGGAGCTGTTTGGCCCAGGATAAGTGGCCTTGGGTCTCCCATGGCTCTTGTGCAGGTAAACACTTTAGAGCCTGCTCACTAATCCCACTGACCTCCACTGCATCATTTGGAAAATGAAGGCCCTTGCCATCTTCTGAAAGTTCTGAGTTAGTAGCTCATCTCCCAGACTAGGGCACTTTCTTATGGCTATTTCTGCCATAAGGGAAAGGGCATCTCCCAGTAATACAGATATCTCCTAAGATGAGAATATCTTTCTGAATTACCCAGAAGGAAGATGCCTTGAGTTGCAATCCTACTTGGTTCCTGTGTAACTCTGAGCAAATCTTTGTTTTCCTGTGGAGATGGGGATGGAATCCAGAGCCTTCTACGTATTAGACAAGTGCTCTACCACTGAGCTAAATCCCCAGCCAACCCAGACCAAATATTAACCAGTGTTTGCTTCCTCAATTCCAAAAAAAGGTTAGTTTTGTGTCTTGGTCTCAAGGAAGTCTTAAATGACTAGAAAGAAGTGCCTAACAAGGTATGGCACTTGGTCAACTCAGTGACACTGGAATCTGAATTTAGGTATAAGGCCAACAACCATCCTGCCAGTCACCCAAAGGGGCTCAGAGAACCTTGTGGCCATCCTCCCAAACTTGTTAACCATGAGGCTGAGGCTCATGGTCCTTCCTTGGACCTTGGGATATCTTGGTCCAATTGTGTACCCTCTTTAAATCCACAGGACCCCTTAAGCCAAACAGCTGTACTGTGTTCCCAGTGAACATCCAGAAGTCTAGGCTGAGCTCTGTAGAAATTTTTGCTCCTTCCAAATTGTGACAGTGGACTCAAGGAAAGCTAGTGATCACTGTTGCTGTAGTGCTCAATACCAGGCCTTCACCTCTGGGCGCTCTGCTACAATAGTGTGGCCAGTGCTTACAAGGAGGGTAGGTGCACACAGGAAGAGCACTACCCTTCTGGAGGACAGATAGCATAGCTCTAGGATGGAGACAGCAAAGCAATCCAGTCCAAAACCTTTTGCAAAAAGGTTTGGAACAAAAGAAAGGGGTGTGTGGAATCATGGGCAGGAGCCCATTCTGTCACAGAGTGGAGACAAGGCTCAGATCCTGAGGGCCAGGGGTCTCCCCATCATGACCCAGCCCTCCCCTGCCCACCTCCCAGGTTGCTCAGACAAGACAGCAGCTAGCAACAGTGGGATGAGTAGAGAAGCTGATAGGAAGCTGCTGTAGGGTAGGATAGGACTGCTACTGAGGACTGATAGCAATGTGCCAGTGACCTGCAACCAAAGCCCATGACAGTATTTCCACCCTGTCAAGAGACCAGCACTGTGCTGGCCAAGGGGCTCACTAAGTTTCTGATGAAGCCAGTTGCAAACCCCCATTCCCCACCCTGCCTCCCATCTTCTGGCTACAAATATCAGGACAACACTGGTTCTCACCACTGTTTTTAATTCAGTAAATCAAGTTGAACACACAAGATGCCTGTAAACACTGGAATACATACTGGAATACTGGACAGAATTCTTACTCTAAAACAACACATCTGCATGAGGTTTCTCCTGCTATGGGGTGGAAGAACAGGAGATTTTCCTAATGGGTGTGGATGGTACAGGGTAACTCAAGGATAGGAAGGAGGTTTCCACATATAACCAGAGAACAGACAACACTGAGCAGGTACCAACATACTATAAGCAGGGGCAGTTAACTTGCACTTGTACTTGGCTGTGGTGGTTCCTGCTGTTGCACTCTTGGCTTCTGCTGCTGCTTCTTTTTCTGTTTGGAGAGGCAACACAACGCAGATTCGCCATTCCTTGAGACTGCCACAGGCAGGGGTAGTCTGCCAGACTGAGTGGGATATTTGGTCTTCAGGTTCTCTTTGAACAATGGCTGGGAGAGCAGGTGGCGCAGCTCCTTCTTCAGAACCTTCATCTGCTTTTGTCGCCGGCGCTCTTCTTGCTGGTCAGCTTTTCCTCCTTGAGACATGATACAAGATCCTATTTACTATGGTATGTAGAAACATTTCATTCCTTGGACTAGTAATATAAGCTAGTGGTGGCTTGAAAAGAACCACAAATGGCCAACTTCCAACCATTTAGGAGGGATACACTGGACCATTCTGTCCTTTATTCCTCAGAAATGCTCAAAGACAGGAATTATCTTCAATTTACACCTAAGTCAACTCAGTCTTAGTGGTCACCTTAAGTTATAGAGCTAGCTATCAAACATCTCAGAACCTAAGCCTCCTGACTAAGGGTTTGTTTTCTTTCCAAACCCACCTGCTACCTACTTAAACGTCTGGCAACTTGACAGCTATACTATCCCTCAAGTCTGTGAACACTTCTCTGCAGCTTGGTTCCTGAGCTCGCCCTAACCAGTGCTGTGGCTGCACGTGTAGAGACAGGTAGACACAGGCCCCACAAACCCTGTCCACACGGGAGAGAAACCAGGGCCTCCACAGTCTTACCTAAGCCCCAGGCCAGAGCTATGAGGAGGACTAGCTCACTATCATCACGCCATTGCTTAGGCTCCCATGCTGACCAGTAAGTTAGCTACTGAACATGCTGACTTTGGTACTAAGATGTCAACACCTCAGCTGAGCTGCATCATTGGTGGGGAGGAAGGAGTGTGGGCCATGACTTTAGTATTATCAGTTCTCGATATGTCACTTCCCTTTTAAGTAGGCCCCTGAAGACTCATCCATGAACCTTGGCTTGTGGCCCATGGACAGAGCCGGGTTCAGGAAATTCCGCCAGGTGAAGCACTGCAAAAATCTCCTTTCTGTGAGCCTCTAGTTCCCACATGCAAAAGGATAATAATTGTCACTAAGTTCATGTCATGAAATTGTGGAGAAGATCAAATGAGATGATGATATGGAAATGCTTTGTTGGCATGAAAGGCAAGTATAGTAGTAATGATGATAGTAACAACTTAGAACATATCACATATCTTCTATTTGGAAGGCACTATTGTGTACACTTTATACTCCTGAACTCAATCTTCACAACAACCACGTGACGTAGGTCACTTATTACCTCAATTTTATAGATGAGGGAAGTAAGGTACAGCAGAGAGGTTAAATAACTTGGCTCAGTGACATGGCCAGATAAGGAAATGGGCTACACCAAACATGGCTGGCCAGACAGTCTTTTCCCCGCGCTGTGTCCCATAGCCTGTCCACGTGAGAGAGGCAGCTGAGGGCTCCAGACAGAAACAGGCAAGCCAGAGGGAATAATGTCTGAGGCTTTAAGATCATTTAGGACTAGAGGCCATGAGCCAAGGGTGCGTTGCTGATTCTGAAAGGACCATGGTAGTATGGATGGTTGCAACCAGGCAAGAGTTGGAGGGAGGGAAAAAAAAGCCAAATGTAGCTTCTTCAATTCCCATCCAGTTCAAGAGCTTACCTTTGTACATCTCTTCTTCCAGCTCAATCTCAAGGGCAGCTGCTGCCTGCTCAATCCAAGAGTTGTGAAGACAAGCTTGGAAATTCCGATACTCAGCTTTCTCAATCTGCCGAGCTAAACAGGATTCGCTCCTAGTGGGGCAGTAACAAAGTATTCATCTGAAGAGGGTTCAGGCCTCTGGGAAGCAAAGTCTCACTTAAGTTGTATTTTAAAGAAGCTCTTGAGATCAGCTTAGTTCCTATGAAATGTGTTTCGTCTAGGCTCCTGATAAAAGTCCAGAGGGCAATCATTACATGTGCCAGTCCATACATACAGTCAATCACAAGAACTAGCTTTCCCAATAGTAAACTAAAACTATACTCCCTTGGAAGCCTGTCCCAGCCTGACTACCAACCTACAGGTCCAGAGTAAATGTGGGAAAACCCCAGACGTCATATCTAGCTTCCACAATTATTCCAGATCATGGGTTTTGAGGTTAGACTGCAGTGAAAGGATGTTCCCCATACCCCAAAAACTGAGAGATCGTGTGATAGAGGGAAAATGAACCATGGACAGCCAGGGGAGCTCCCAGCCTCCTTACTACTGGGAATTCTTTATGATCTCCCCCCTCTCCATCACACACACACAGCTAACATTACTTCCAAGCTAGTCACTAGTCGTTAACCCATTCCATGCTCTTGCTCCCTGAACTCCATCTCTTTACCTCTCCAAATCTCTGCTGCAAATCAAACTTCTTCCATCTACCAACCCCATAGTATTTCATCTGTACCTGAACTTTCTCATGGGTCAGCCTGCTCACGAGAGTTCTCCCCACCCCCCTCTGATCCCTGAGGCCCACCATAAACAGCATTCACACAGTAACCATGCTCACTGCACTGTTCAACAGGGGTAGGGGCAGATGGACACTTTAGGGCCAAACAATCAAGAAATGGATGAGGGATAAACTGCCACACTTTTGCTCACTCCTGTGCAGCTGCTGGCAGAACCTTTTCTGTTTGCCAGGCTAATGCTGCTGACTGGTCTGACAGGAAGGTGCTTTGAGGGAGAAGCATAGTCCCCTCAACAGCACTGGGGTTGGAACTTTCCTTTTACCTTCACTACGTCCATGTACTTTGTCTGCACAGGGAACAGTGGGATGTCCTCATCTTTCTTGAGGGTTTTGTAAATCTTCTTAAAGTGGACCACATCCTCAGGACCGATCAGCATTAGACTGAGGCCTTGGCTGGTGGCACGAGCAGTTCGACCACTTCGGTGAATATAAATCTCTGAGGTGCGAGGAACCTGCCAAAACAGGAGTTGGGATTAGCACACAGCCATCACCAAACACTATTCTTCTCCTTGGGGCCACACCCCCTAACTGGGGCCTCCTCCCTGCCAGCCAGAGAGGCAGACCAAGCCCCATGGACCAAGCTAGCTCTTCTCCCTTAGTCCCACATTCAAACTCTACCTAAGTTCAGCCCTTCACAGTGCAGGCGCTGCCCTCCCACACAGCCCACCCAGGTTTAGCTCCTCACGGTCACTCAGATGGACAGTGATGGTCACTTCTTAATTGGTCTCTAGTCCTCCAGTCCCACTTCCTCTGTTGCCAGTGCTGTCTTCCTGAGTCTCAGTTCTGACCATAATAATCCCTTCTAGCTAAAACTCGCAAGCTCTTCACTAGTCCACAGGGATGATAGATGATGGTACTCACAACCAACATTTACTGAGTGACTGCATTAGGGCTGGACAATTCTAAGCACTCTGCATGCATTATCCCATCATTTCTCCTAATAAGAAATCATCAATACCTTATGCTTATCCACATTTTGTAACCCAGGAAACTAAAACACAGAAGTCAAACTCCCTGTAGGTTATCCAACTAAGGATTTAAAGTGAAGCAGTCCAGTTCCGACAGGCTGCTAGCCCCTGAGCTACACTGCCTCTATCCCAATCTATACTGGATATACTAGCCACAGGTAACCTGGAATGGGAGCTGACACCTCTCCTGCCCAACTCCTGCGGCACATGCCACTCATCAAGCACAGGAGTCTTCTCCATTGGGCCCAGGTAACAGCTCAGTATCTTTTCAACACAGTACTCTAGACAGCCACTATGAACATCATGGTTACAGAAACGAGATCTATTTGCCATTCATCACTTACAGGATGGGGGTCCAGATCTTTCAGTGACCTGTCCTCAAGTTATCCGTGGCCTCAGCAACCACTCAACTATTCTCCAATACAGCCCTCTTCTTACAGCTGACAACACTCCCACTTCTACTTATTCTTTTCTCCCTCTTCATGTCCAAATTCTCTCTGTCCTTGAATGCCAACTATCTTTTAGAAAGCACTTTCCAACCTCCCAAATTAGAAGTTACCTCTCGGGGCTCTTGATGGCTATGGGAGCAGTTGAGAGTTCAACAGCAAGGTTAGAATATGCCACCCAAAGGAAAAAGTGGTTCTGGAAAAGGGAGGAAAGAGGATACAGCCTCTGGGAGTGACAGTGCTGACAAGAAGGCTCAGGGCCCCAAAGGCGGTGGTAATGTAATACAGGTCAGACACATTTTGTGTGAAAAACACAGCAAAATCATGGAAGCCATAGAAAAGATTCAATGAAGTGGCCACACAATATAGTGAAGATAAAGCCAGGCAAGGGGGTGACTTGGGTTGGATGACCAAAGTCGTGGGACCATTTCAAGAAGCAGCATTTGCCTTACCTGTAAGTGGGATGGATAAGCCTGTGGTTACAGACCCGCCAGTTAAAACGAAATGTGAATATCATATTATTATGGTCAAAGGGAGAAAATAAAATCGTATGGCTGAACAAGTTTTACCCACTTCATTTCTTTCAAAGGTATCAATAGTCTTTGTATTTTGTGAACTGTCAGTGTGGGTTTGTAGGTACAAAATAGGGTGGTTGTACTCCAGCAGGTGTTCAGTCAGCAGTTCTCAAAGACAAGCAAGCAGACTCCTTTGAATTTGTGCTTCCATTCTTGCCAGACTAACTTTAACACAGTGTGTCCCGTGAATTAATTCAGAAACTGTCTTCAGAGGAGCAAATCTTAGCTTACACTGTTCATGCAACCAAACATACTGGGCATCAAATGAATGAATCAGAATATGAGAATCATAAAGTAAGTTCCTGCACAGCACTTTTACAAGTTAGTCAACTCTAGTCTGTTCCATTGTCCTAACACTGTGCATAGCACATAGTCATTCAATATTAATTCCTTTCTCTTTAAGTAAACTTTATATATGGGTAAAGGAAAGCATTCAGTTGGTTCTTCATGGATTGTTTGAACTAAACTAAACAGCCATCACCAAGTGCTGGGTAAAAGGGACAATGTCAGTGTGAAACTGTCATTTCTTCATTCTCAGTGTATGGTTTAATTATGACTCCTTTCCAAGAATAACACTCTGTAGTATATTTTTAAATTTTAAAATACTGTACTTATGACATACAAAAAAGTATAAATAATAACATGAGTACTATGCTACTTCAAAAATAAAACTTTGCCAACATAAAAAAAAAAGTTTCCTCTCCTTCCCATTACATTTGATAACTTTCTGATGCCTTCTGCCTTAAACTATGGAAGTGGTCATTCAGCTTCTCCACTGGATGTGAGACTTCTTAAGACCTGAGACTGCTATATTAGGTTCACCTTGGCCTTTCCCTCAAAGACTGACCCAGTCACTTCCCCTAACAGGAGTAGAGATTCATTAACCAAAAGATGTTTATTTTTGACAGAACTGATGTTTGAACTCAGGGCTTCACCCTTGTTAAGCAGGCTCTACCACTTGAGCCATGCCTCTATCCCTGTTTTGTGTTGGTATTTTCGAGACAGGGTCTTGGGAACTATTGCCAAGCTGGCTTCAAACCACAATCCTCCTGATCTCTGCCTCCTAAGTGGCTAGGATTATAGGCATTAGCCATTGGTGCCTGGCACTAAAAGATTCTTAAAAGCCCAAAGATTTACAATGAAAGAAAATCAAAATGTCATAATAGATAACATTTACTAAGTACTTTACTGTACTAAGTGCTTCATTACCAGCTCAATTTAGTTGTCATGATAACCCTACGGGCAGGGTATTTCAGTTTACGAACAACAACACTGAAACAAGAAGTACTAAATAATTTACCCAAAGCTAGACAACTATGAAGCATAAGACCAGGGTTCAAACCCAGGCAGTCTGGCTCTCTAGGGCTCTTATTCCTAACCACAAGTATGTACTGACCTTTACTAGGTGCACAATGTCACTGCCACTATGAACATACACTAACATTTAGTAAGTGCTTGTGATATGCCAGCTGGCTTCCTAAGGGCTTTACACATTAACTTCTTTTGCTTTTATGAGAACACTAAGAGGTCAGTGCCATAATAACTGCCATTTAACAAATGAAAAAACTGAAGAACAGAGATTAAATAACTAATTCAACATTACACAGCTGCAATCTAAGCAAAAGGAGGTCTTAAACTACCCCACTCTTCTCTGCATCAGGATAACCCCCTACCAACATGGTGCTATGATTTGAATATGGTTTGTCCCCACTAAAACTCAAGTTGAGGCTTAATTACTCAGTGTAGCAGGTTGGGAGATGGGCCTAGGGGAAGGTGTTTGGATCATGGGGACAGAGTCCTCATGATAGATTAATGCTGACTCAAGGGAGTGAGTTCTTGTTCTCAAGGGACGGATTAGTTAACCTTGAGAAGGTGCTTTACAAACCAAGGTGCTTCCCTCATGTTTTGCATCTGTTCCCACCACCTCCTTGCCCTTCTACATCAAGACTCCCACCAGAAGCTAAGCAGATGCTCTTGGACTTTCCAGCCTCCAGAATCATGAGCCAAAACAAAGTTTTTATTAAAAACAATTGCCCAGTCTCAGGTATTCTATTATAGCAACAGTAGAGCAAAAGAAAACAGGCTAAGGCACATGGTTATTAGCCTTTTTATGGAAAAAACTAAGAGTAACCTAATGATATCAAGTAGTTTGGAGAGAATAGATACTTGACATTAGATAACACCAAGAAGCTTTTTCTGAGACTAAATCTTATCTGTGTTCCAAAAGAGGCAGCAAGGGGTACTAGATACCAGTGGTAACATCTATTGCAGGGGGACTTTTTAAAGAAAAGCTTGGCTCCCACCCCTCAACCTTTGCTTTAAAAGAATGGTCACTCAGTGCAGAAAGATGCCTTCAAATCCCCATACACACTTACCTGGTAATGAATGACATGTTGGACTTTAGGAATATCAAGACCCCGCGCTGCAACATCTGTTGCCAAGAGAACACAGCTATGATGGAGACAGAATGCACATTCGTAATTATAACACAGCAATCATGAGCACCTGCTAAGCACTCTAAACACTACAATCCTTACCCTATGAGATTAATACTATAAATTAAGAACCTGCAGTACAAAAAGATAAGCTTCCAAGGTATGTACATGCCTATTCAGATGTAGTCAACACCCAAACCTGGGTCGCATTCACCTCAAGCAACAGACCCTCTCTGCAATGACAAAAGTCCCCTTCCAATGAATTAAATGAAGCTATACATATTCTAGGAGATGGTGACCTCATCTCCTAGCTCCCTCCCACTTTACTCCCAATCACACAGACTTCTGGGCACCCTGCTCCTTGAGTATCAGTCTGATTCAAAGGCAGATGGACAAACAGCAAGATCATCTATAGCATGGACTTATTTGGAGCCCAGCTCTGCCACTTCCAGGTTGGAAAACCTCAGGCAAGCCGATTAGCTTTTCTAGACCTTATTTTTCATCTACAAGAAATGATAATAAGTGGTTTAGTTGGACAAGTGATTATTAAAGCTAACATTTAGCAAGCACACACTATGAGCCAAAGACCATTCCAAACATTTTGTATTGTGTTCACTATTGTATGTGTGAATTCTCACTTTATCTTTATAATAACTCTATGGACAGAGCTTCTATTATTACCCAAATTATGAGAAAATGAAGCACAGAGAAGTTAAGTGAGCTGAACAGCTAGGAAGTAAAGGGGTCAGGATTTAAAAAAAAAAAGGAGTCAGGACTTGACCTCAGGCATTCTGGTTCCACAGTCTGTGCTCTTAACAAGAACTTATTCTTCTGCTTCTCAAGGATGCTAGAAGTGACTGAATGATAACGTATCAAAGTTGTCAAAGTGTTCAATACAGTATGTATTGTCACCAACTCATTATTTAAGTTTCTGTAGAGCATTAATACCAACCACATAGACTCAAGGAGAGTGACCTTGTTAAATACTATAAAATATGAATAAATAAATAAAGGCTACCTTCTACTGAAGAGGGCCCTATGACAGGAGGTAGTTTCCCACCATGTCTCTACCCTCTACCAAGGGGCTCTACCTGACCCCTTGGTTCAGTGGCTAGAAGTTAGAGGATAGGCCTCTGGAGACAGGTTCAACTTACTCTTCCAGGCGGGCAAACTGCTCCAGGTTTCTGAGCCTCTGCTTCTGGTGCATGCAGGCATGCAGGGTCAGCGGCATGATATCCAGGACTTTGAGGAGCCCAGAGAGGCGTTTGATGCAGGAGATGCTGTTGGCAAACACTAAGCTGCGGCCTGGATACTGCATCAGGAAATAGTACAGGTAGAAGTCTTTCTCATCTGACTCACAATGGATCTTGGTCTCTGTCAGCGTCTCCACTGTACCCTCATTCCTTGTGAGGTCAATGACTTTCGGCTTACATTTCATGCCAATCTTCTGCATGAGAAGTTCAAGTTTGGCAGTTTTGTCCATTTTCTTTATGTGCTTCTTATGAAGGATTCGAGCTGGAGCTTGATGTACCAGGGTTAGTGTGGCAGAAAAAACAAGTGTCTGTCTCTTTGGGTTGTACTGGGAGTCATTGAGCATCTCTAGCAGCTGGGAGAGTTCAGCGAAATGGCCTTTCTCAACCATGCGGTCAGCTTCATCCACTACCAGGCACCTGCAGATCCAGACAGAGCCACATGACTGGTAAATGGCAGATTAGAGAAATCAGCTATAGTACACAGTCTCCTTCCGTCCTAACCACATACCCATGCAGGTATCCCACTATCACCACTAGGACTTAAACCTCCCTCATGCTTTTTCAGGGCAGGGCCTGGAATGGTACCATTCCACACATTCTGTGACTGGAAGAAGACATTACAGTACCTCAGGTTCACTTCAGAGTGGGTAAAGGAAAAGGGAGAGGTACCATCTCTCACCTGAGCTGCCGAAGGTTGCTCAAATGAGCATGCTTGTTTTTAACTAGCTCCCATAGCCGGCCTGGAGTGGCAACCACAATCTCAGGATGGCGGTTCAGCATCCTCTGTTGTTTCTGTGTGGACATTCCACCAACCAAAATAGCTGTTTTAATTCCTATGGGACAGAAAACATTATTCTGTTATACAATCTGTATTTTTCTTTCACAGATAATAAAATTTTCCTAGATTAGTACATAGTCAGCAACACAGCTCCCAGCTCCAGGAGAATGCTGAAAGAGCTGGCCTAACATGACTGCTCAACCCACTCCTAGAGGACTTAGTGATCTGAGTCCTGTCTGCATCTCCAATCCAGTTTCTTTCTACTCCCTCTCCTCTAACCACAAAAGAAGGGCTGTATTTGAACTCAGCCATGCTCTGGGAAACTTAGTGATACATGTACTACAATGCTGGGAAGGATGGTAGCTGCAGCTGTGACACATCTCTACTAAGAAGTCCTTCCCATTCACCTCAGTTACAATTAATCTGAAGTGCCATTACTAATGCCTAGTGTTCTGTTTCTCTCTCCAGTGGAAGACCTCTTACAGTATCCAGTATAGGGTTATTCAGGTAAAGTGCCTTGCAATTAGTAAGAACTCAGTAATTAAATACTGCGTTTATTAGCATAAAATTAAATTTTCCATTGAACAACCATTCCCAAAAGGAATTCCCTAAGAGAATTCACTCCTTCTTCTTCTTTATTTTTGGTGGTACTGGGGTTTCAACTCAGGGTCTTACATCTCATGCTCACTAGGCAGGAGCTCTGCCACTTGAGCCACTCCACCAGCCCAAGTATTCATTTCTTACCTTCAGGCAAGTTCTCTTAAAAGAACTTAAAAGGTCACTAGCAAACATTACTAGCCTTGTGGCCCAGATGGTCTGTCACAACTAACTACTCCACTCTGTCATCACAGTACAAAAGTAGTCACCAACAACATGTAACCATGGGTAGTTATGTTCCAATAAAACTTTACTTAGAAAAACAGGTTGCTACTCCTGCCCTAAGCATCCATTATACTCAATAAATTAATTTCCTACATATCTAGAATGGTTTTATCTCCATAGTCGCCTTGGAAAAATTAAGAAAATTTCATTCAATAAATTTTCTTTCTTCTTTTTGATAGTCTCGACATGTGGCCCAGGCAGGCCTCAAACTTGTGATGGTCCTGCCTAAGTCTACTCAGTGCTGGGACTGCACATGGTCTGCCACTCCCAGCTCTATCTCTTTTCTACAGGCCTTAATTCCATGGCAGGTGAGAAAAGTTCCCCCCAGAAGGCAGGAGCCACAGTTCACTCATCTTTACCACTGCTCTAGAAATATTTATTAAGTGGAACTAAACTCACCTGTAAACTTGGCCACAGCATCAATATGTTGTTTGACCTGGACAGCCAGCTCTCGAGTGGGAGTCAGAACCAGCCCAAGCAGAGGACATTTTGGATGTACTTTACAAGTAGCAATTTTGTCATCCAAGTCCTGTATAATCTTTTCAGTGTGCTCCTCACCAAGGTTTTCCTCTTCATCCTCATTTTTGGGGACAGACTCCTCCTTGATCAGGGAAGAAGGCCCTTCACCAGCATCTTCATCATCATCATCACAGAAGAGCAGAGTCTGGTCTGAGATGGAGGCACCTGTCTTGGCTCTGGCCTTATCTCCAGCCTCAGTGGGCAATTCACTCTGAATTTCAGTTTCATCAGGCAACATTCCAGACTCAGTGCTCACATTGCTTGGTGATCCAGGCTTGGCTCCAGCCTCAGTCCTGATCACCTCTGGTAGCACTCTAGTGTTATCTGGGATTGGTGAAGCCTTCCTCTTCTGCCACTGCAACACTGCATGAATCATTGGGATGGCAAAGGCAAGAGTTTTCCCACTTCCTTAAAAGTAAAACAAAACAAAACTGAATCAACAGATGGACATATATTTTATCTGGAGTTTTTTCTTTTGCATAGGTGAAATAGTCAAGTGCCACCTTGACTAAACCATAGTTCTACCACTCTACATGTTTTTATAGAGCATGGCTGTCAGAATAAGATGGTCCAAGGAAAAGTTTGGTAGACTAGTATTGAGACCAGAGGTCATCAGTGGTAACTATAAACATGCAAGAGTGAAAAAATAAGGAAATGAAGGGCAAGTTATGTGTGTTTTGTTGTGAAATGTAGTTAAGAATAGTCCTCTGAATTCTAGCCAGAGTAACTCCATCTTGCAACAAGTCACCATTTACCTCTTCTCTGTGCCACACTCTATGCAGCTAAACAAGCCATACTTCCCACACTTTGCCAAGACCAGTAAAATCCTTGATAAGAACAAGGACAGAGTTTGCATAAACATGTAACTTTCCAAGGGTCTGTATCTTATGTTAACTGAGTCTATACTTCTGCTGTTCTGATATTAGGTGGCACTCTAAGTCCTAGTCAGTTTACAGACTTAGATCTACTGGGCAAAGGGACAGACTCAATGTCTTGGGTGAGTTAATGTGAATGCACCACTCTTAAGAGCAACTACTAAAACTCACTTTCACTCATTCAAACTGAAGTTGTATGAGTCATTTTGGGGCTAGCAGTGTTATATCCAGATTGGAGGAACACAATCCTTTGTAACTCCCAGAAAATTCATGGAACATGAAGGAAAAGATAGAGGGATGGAGGGTAGGGATTGGAAATCTATGCAATACTTTCCTAAGGTCTTTCTTTGGAGCAGTGGCTCAAGTGGGAGAGTTCCTGAGAAGCCCTGAATTTAAACCCCAGAACCACAAAAAGAAAAAAAAAAAAAAAAAAAGAACATGTATCAAAAACCTATAGGTAACACCACACTTAACGGTGGTGACTGCGTGTCCCTAAAGATCGGAAACAAAGCCCACTTTACCACTTCTACTCACAATTTTATTGGAGGATTTTTAGCTAAGTGCAATAAGAAAAAAAAAAAAAATTCAATTGGGTGCCAGTGGCTCACACCTATAATTTTAGCTACTTGGGAGGCAGAGATCAGGAGGATCACAGTTTGAGCCCAGCCTGGGCAAATACTTCATGAGACCCCCATCTCGAAATAACCGGAGCAAAATGGGCTAAAAGTAGAGTTCCTGCTTTGCAAGCACAAAGCCCTGAGTTCAAATCCCAGTCCCACCAAAAGAACAAAAACCCCTTCATATTTCTATTAGCAACAATCAGAAATGAAATTTTAGATTACCATTTACAGTATCAAACTGTGAAAATATTTAAGGACAAATCTAACAACAAACATACAAAATCTACATGCTGAAAATTATAAAACATTGCTGAGAGAACTCAAAGACCTAAAGAAATGAATATACTACATTTTATGAAATGGCTTGGGTCATTCCAATCCATGAAATGGCTTAACCCATGTCAAGATGACATGTTTTCAATTTGCTACATAATCAATGCAATTCCAATATAAAACCAGCTTGCTTTTTTGTAGAATAAGCTAATTCTACAATTCATATGTGAATGCAAGGCTTAGAATAGCCAAAAAACATAAACAGAAAACAAAACCTTTTACGCAGAAGTTGGAGGACAAACAGTACCTAATTTTAAGACTTAACTATAAAGCGACTATAACCAAGTAAACGAGGGACTGATGCATAGATGAACAAGTAGATCAATGACTTTCAACCAAGATGCACAGTCAATTCAGTAGTCAAAGACTTTCTTACTACCTGGAATAATTAGATATCCACATGCAGAAGAGCAACTTTGATGGATACCATATATAAAGTTAACTCAGTAAGAATGACAGACTGAAACTTTAAACAGAAAAAGTATTTCTTTGTTATAGCAAGTTGGGCAGAGTTCTTACATAAAGCACCAAAAGCACCATCTGTAAAAGAAAAAGGATCATCTGAACGTCATTAAAACAAATTCACACTGGGTGCAGGTGGCTCACACCTGTAATTCTAACTACTCAGGAGGCAGAGATCAGGAAAATTGAGGTTCAAAGATAGCCCAGGCAAATAGTTTGTGAGACCCTATCATCACAAAAAAGGCTGGTGGAGCAGGTCACGGTGAAGGCTCTGAGCTCAAACCCCAGTACTGAAGAAAAAAAAAAAAGGGAGAGAAAACAACAACAAAAAAATTCACTCCCATCCCAAAATAAAGAACTTCTGTTCTTTGAAAAACGCTAAGACAATGAAAAGATAAGCCACACACTGGGAGAAAAATTTGCAAACTGCATATCTGATAAAAGGTCTGTATCTAAAATATATAATGAGCTCCCAAAACTCAATAATAAGGGAACTCAATTTAAAAAATTGAGCTAGGCGCCTGTGACTCACACCTGCAATCCTAGCTACTCAGGAGGCAGACATGAGAATTGCAGTTTGAAACCAGCCTGGGCAAAGAGTTTGCAAAAAACGTCTGGTGGAGTGGCTTGAGGTGCAGGCCCTGAGTTCAAACTCCAGTAGTGCCAAAAAAAAAAAAAAAAAGCAAAAAAACTGAACAGGTATCACCAGAGAAAATGGTATGGATGACAAATAAACCCATGGAAAGATGCCCTATGTCATTAGTTACCAGGGAGATACAAATTAAAACCACAAAGAAATACTAAAATTTTTTAAGACTAAAATAAAATATGGGCCTACTTGAACTCATAGCATCTGGTGGCAGGTAAAATGGTACAATCACATTGGGAAACTCCTAAAAAAGATAAATTTACCAGAAGACCTAGCCATTCCATACCCAGGCATTTACACAATGTACCCACAGAAGGACTTTATATCCTTAACAGCTTTATCTGTAACATCCAAACACAAGAATAAAACCCATAAAGTCCCATCAATAGACAGATGAACAAATCACGCTTTAGTCATAAGGAATACTATTCATGAATAAAAAGAAGTAACTGCTGGTATTTGCATTAACATGGCTTAATCTCAAATTATGGTGAGGGGGAAAAAAAAGAGCCTGACATCTCCCCCCCCAAAACACATACTGCATGATCCCATTATATAAAATTGTAAAAAACGCAAATAAAAAATTCTAGAAAATTCTAGAAAGCCTATCAGAAGTTACACGGAGACAAATGAGGGGGTGTGGCAAGGAGGGAGAAGGGATTACAAAGGAACCCAAGGCATCTTTGTCCACAGCCCCAACTGCACTGCCTGTTCCAAGTCTTTGTGAGTCCTGGATCTGCAGGTGCATGGCATTCCATGCGGGAAAGCTGTGGTATGGATCCAAATGTCAGGCCCTTGCCACAGTGGTTCACTCAGACCTCTCCAGAGATCCACTTCTAAGACTCTACATATAGCAAAGATATAGCAGGATGCAAACAGCTCACAGACTGGCCTAGATTACAGGTGCTACTCTTTCAGCTTTAGAGAAGCTGTCTATCCTCTCTAAGGCTGTTTCCTAGCTATAGAATGGAAATAATATCTATATGTTAGAACGGTTATGAGAACTGAGTTCATCGATATAAAGCTCTTGTATGTTTTAAATGTCCAGTAAATGCTCTAAGTAATTATTACTTCCATTCTCCTTTCCTCAGGTTTCCTTGTTCTTCTATCAACACGCTTCTCACATATCACCTCATCCCAACTTTCCCAATCACTCTTTCAGGAATCTAAGGCACAAGTGCCTAGACAGTCTAGTGTTACACAGTACAACATAGCAGTCACTAGAACATATGGCTACTGAATGCTTAAAATGTAGTTACTCTAGACTGACATGTAATTTAAGTTTAAAACATGCCAGATTTTGGAAAACTTAGTACAAAAATAGGAATGCAAAGATCTCATTAATAATCTACATGAGGTTGAGTGTGGCTCACATGATAGAATTCCTGCCTAGCAAGCACAAGGGCTTAAGTTTAAATTCCAGTGTTCTCAAAAAAAAAAATAATAATGTTATACAAGTTACATTTTTTGAAATATCTTGATATAAGTGCTTAAATATATATTGTTAAGATTAATTTTTACCTTTTTTTTACTTTTTAAAACCGTGGCTCCTGGAAACTTTGAAATTATGTATTATATATTGGGTCCTGCTAGTTTAATTAGACTAACAGTTCATGTAGTTTGAATTCCTTCGCCAGCTAGTAGTCTATTCTCAGGAGTCAACATGTCACTGCTTCCAAGTCTTGGCGCAAGGAATGAGGGAAACCTGAACATAGCTAGTCTTCCCATACTTCCATCTGCCTACAAAATTCACTCAACGGCTAGCCACCACACTCAAATCCTTCCAATGACAAAAAACTCACCACCTTCCAAAACAACTCTTATCATGTTTGGACAACTCTTGAGAGAATTAAGACAGTCCTTCCTGATACTGATGGAGATCTGCCTACCTCTCCAGTGGACCCTATCTTACTCTTTTGAATCATTTAGAAAAGGCTTAAATACAGGAAAACTTGGGTGGGCAGAATGGCTCAAGTGATAGAGTACCTGCCTAACAAACTTGAGGCCCTGAATTCAAACCCCAGTACCAACAACAAAAAAAAAAAGGAGAACAGAAAACATTATATTTGCGTATTACTGCAATGTATTGCATAAACTTTACCATTTAACCTTCACAGCAATACAAGACATAAGAGTGCTGTTATTTTCATCTTATAATGGGGTCTACAGGGTCAAGATTAAAGTAGGGTACCGAAATCATGAAGGAGCAGATTTCAACCCAGAGCCGGCTGCATTCTCAACACTCCATTCAACATTGCTTTTGTGGTTATGTTCTTAACTTCCCTTTCTCTCCCAGTCTTCCAGCCTATTTACCAGCTACAGACGCTCCTGCCTAGGCCACAGCTTCCCTTTACCTGTCTCAGCAGCCCCAAGGATGTCCAGTTTGTCACGAATGGCAGGTGCCAAGGTCAGAGCTTGGATTGGTGTGGGTGCAGAGAAGCCTAGAAAGCTGAGTGCTCGGAGTACTGGCTTAGGCACAAACAGGTCCTTCCAAGCTGACACATCAGCTTTCTGGTCTTGCACTTCAGGCATCCATGTTTTTGCTTTTTTGGGTACCTTCAGGGCAGTCATCTGGGAAGGCTCTGATTTTTTTTTCCCTTTGTTTTTCTTCTTTTGGGGGACAGTCTTTACTGTGCTTTCTGATGCCATCTCCCCTACCTTTGTATCGGAACAAATGGTGTCATCTCCTTGGTGCTCTGGCTCAGAATCTTTGACTTCAAAGTCTTTCTGGGTGGTGGTTCCTTCAGTAACCAGTACCACATCTTTCTGTTTCTTCAATTTGATCTTTTTCTTTGGAGAGCTAGAGTCTCCTTCCTCCTCTCCTTCTGAAACAACTTGTACCTTTCTCTTCTTGTGTTCCTCCTTTGAGAAGAGATTGGAGAGATTCTTGCCAGGGGAGACCAACTGGTAATCTGTCAGTTCCTCAAAGCACACCAAATCATCCATCTGTCCATCTGCAAATATATTTGGGTCAATCTTCACCTGCTTCCATTTTCCCACAACTTTGATACCCTTTGTCTGAAATTTGCTTGATGACTTTGGTCTTGATTTTGTCTCCTTCAACTTCATGGTTGCTGAAAAGGAGAGATATATGTTCCTTTAGGTGGTGACTGAGAACAGGGTTCTGAGTAACACATATTTTTTAAGCAATGTATCATGTGATAGACCTTGCAAAGATCTGAGGACACAAAAATGGCTGTAATGCAGATGTTTCCAGCCAAAATAAAGAAATACACTCACTGTTCCAGCTTGGCCTGGAACAGGTAACACACAGGAGGAGGAGGAAAGATGTGTGAACTAAACCTCATTTGAATTTCAGATCTAACACTTAATGTGTGTGAGACCCTGAACAGTGCTTCTTATGCCTCTCTCTTATAAAAGAGGGAGAGGCATGATATATAATTTTTATAATTGAAATTATGTAAAACAGGGATAATAAGTCTTGCCATACATAAGTCATTTGGAAGACAGAATAAAAATCTGAGGTGTTTTTATTGTTGGTGTGTTTAGGGGCCTGGAGTGTGCTTTATGAAAAGTGCACTGGGCTGTCTTACCTTTTAAGAAGGCAAATGCCTGTTCCATCATTCTGCCTTTTGCCAAAGGGGCTAAAAACTAATTCAGCTTTTCCATGAACATTTTAAGTAATTAAAAAAACACTTAAGCACAACTCGTTTGGGTGCAACTCGATCCATGTTCCCCCTTTTTGGAGAAGCTATGAAAGAACCGATTCTAGGGAAAAGACAGACAGACCTTGGTTCAAGTCTGAGTGTGTGATGACCGTATCAACCGGAGCCTCAGTTTCCTCGCCTGCATAATGGGGATCATGAGAGCACTTGTTTCCCTGGATCGCTAGCGAATACGCAACGGTGACGCATGTCAAAATCCGCTGAGCATGGCGCCTGTCCAGGCAGGCACGTTGGCCCGTAGTGAAGGTCCGCCTGGCGCACAAGCTGCGCCACCATCACCAACGATTTGAGTCCGACAAGGAGGCGGGATGTCACAGAATGGGAAGAAGACGCATAGCGCGACCTGCAGAGCAAGCAGGGGTCCCTCCTCGGCGCCGGCCTCTCTCAAGTACTAAGCTGAGTACGAACCCTCAAAGCTAAGGCCACGAAGCCTTGATTCCCAAAGGAGGGATCATAGGCGCGGCGACAGCCATACAAATTGGCCAGGTGGCCGGGGCCGACGGTCTCCTCCTCCGAACCCAGAGGTCTGGAGAGGCCCGCAATGGGAGCACCGCATCCCGCCCCAGTCCCTCTGGAACCCGGTTCAACCCCGCTCTGTCTCCGACACTCACCGTGGGGAGACGCCATCGCAGCTCCCTTAGATGCCGGTCAGCTGCCTCAGAAACCCCCACCGTCGTCCCTTAGCTGCAGGGCCCTCTGCAGTTCCGGGGCGGGGTTTCCACTCACGCGTGCGCACTGCGGAAGTCCCGCCTTCATGCCAAGTACGGCTATCTGATTGGTTACGCACGGACTTCTACCGCGCAATCGTAGAGAGCGATGTGGCATGTGGGCCCGGCGTTTAGTGGAGAAGCTCCTGTGAAGCAGAATTGTACGAGTCAGAGGAGGTGTGTTCTGTCCCAAACCGCTGTTCACTAGCTCACGCACGGAAACGCGTTTGTATTCTTGGTCTAGCTTTTTTTTTAATAGGACTGGGCTTTGAACTCAGGGTTTTCGCTTGAGCCACACCCCCTCTTGGTCTAGTTTTGGTGCATTGCCTTTCTACGTATTGCGTACTACTGTGTGCCTGAAACTTCGCACGCATTTTCTCATTTAATTTACAAACCAAACAGCATGATGTATTCGAGATGATGTATATATAACCACCAAGCTAAACCGGATTCCTTGTTATAATACAGAGAAATCAGTTTAACAGGGACCTTTTTGGATGTGGCTATCACGCGGGAAACCTTTCTGATACATTGTGCCTGACAATGTGGGGAATTACAAAAGGACAATCGCAGGGAATTCTCCAGCTTCAGTGAAGTGGGCACCCTCCCCCCATTCCTCTCAGATGCACCGTGGGTCCTAACTCATTTCTTAGGAAGACTTGCCACTGTATGTCCAAAATTTGGGGTAGCAAAGAGCCTGTGCCTAAAGAAGTCTGCTAACAAAAGGGCTGAGGTTTTCCTTGATGGAATGAGGAGGAAGGGCGGCTCCAACCTGCGCAGTTATGCACCCTGGAGTGGTGTAGGTTGTCTTTACAGACTCTAACAGGAATGTCTGCTGGGGAAAGGAACCCAAAAGAGAAAGTGCGAAGTAGGGCCCCTAGAGTGGGAATTAGGAGGCATCTTAATGGTACACTCTGGAGATCCTCAGTGGGGGTCTCTGAAAACTGAAATCAACTGTGTTAAGAGAAACCGAAGCAGTAGAATGTGTGTCGACTGTAGATTAAAAAGAAACTGGTTTAATTTTTTTAATGGGGCAGAGAAGAGATTCCAGCCAAGAGCAAAAGGTTGACAAAGGTGGTATTACATCAGTGGGAACACAGCTTTGTTCCCCCTCTTCTCAATATTCTAACGTAGTTATTTACTAAACAATAAAATACATAATAATCTTGATAGAAATAGAAGCAAGACTTTCTGAGTTGGTACAAGTGAGTAAAGAATAGCTAGGGTCCCAGGAAAATTTCCTAGAAAGCATACCTAGTAAAGGCTTATTTTGCAAAACTACTTTGCATACAAGGTTACAACAGAGTGTTTCAACTGTGCAGAAAAACATCTTATTTACTTCCCCCTGACCTGAGGGGAAGGGAGAAGGGAAAAGGAGGGGGAAGGACCTAAATAGGAACTGGTGGTTGCCCTTGATGCTAATTAGGTGACTGTAGCCCTCCAATCTGTTCTGCCTGTGTTGGCAATCAGCCAATGACCCTATGGCCCTTTATCTAATTACCATGTAAGAACAAGGTCTGCTAAAACCCCTAGCCCCTACTGGTTACCAGCAACCCACTCAGGGCCTGTCCATTTCTGCAAGAGCTTTTGTTTCACTTACTAAACGTTCCTACCTTGATGCTTACCCTTTGTTGCCCTGAAGTTCATTCTCCGGTTTTGTGAGACAAAGAACCCCAAATGCCCATACTCCCTCTGGCTAAAATGCTGTAATACTTAATCCAGCAAGGTTGAATAGAGGCTTTGGACCTGCACAAGTCTTCTGTATCACAAACAATCAAGATCAAGACACCCAGTAAGGGATGAATCCTAGTTGTCAGGGGACTCCGATGCCAGTGGCTGGAGTGGATGTACTTACACATTTGCAGATCTATTTCCCAAACAGAAGAGTGGATATGAACCATGCAGTAATTATCAAGAATGCAGTTGGAGCCGTTGGGGCAGCTGAGCTCACTAAAGTGACTTAGCTAGCCAGAGAGGGGTCCTAGGGAGGGTTGAGTGTCTACTTAGTTTCACGTGTGAACTCTGTAACACTAGCCTGTGTGGCTTTAGAAAGTTTTTCAATCTTCTCAGTTGCCAAATGACAGCAATAGGAGTAACAGAGTTGTGAGGATTAAATTCGATAATACATGTGAAGTGCTCATAGTGGTGCCTAGTGCTTGGTGAGCCCAGATCGACCTTAGTGATCTGTGTTAACTGCCATCACACGCTTCATTCTAATTCTACACCTACCTTTTATATAGAGCACGTCAAAAAAGAACAGACTGGGGGGAAACACATTTCAACAAAATGCCCAACAATGTTATCTCAAACTTTTGCTATCAGTAACACCATGAAAATCATGTGCAGATGTTTTTGTGGACATTTCTGATTCTTTCCTTACAATAAGTGCCAAAATGTAAAATTTCTTAGACAAACGAGCTTTTACTGCATGTTGTAATTTGACTTCTTCCTTTCCTATTTATACCTTTTTCCCCCTTTTTCTTGCCTTATTGCTTTGGATAAAATTCCAAGTAAAATATTTAGTATTAGTGATGAGAGTGGGCACCCTTGTCTCATTTCTTATTTTAAAGTAATAGTTTTCTGTTTTTCACCATTCAGTATTATTTTGGATATAGTCTTTATTATGTTATCTAGTTTTTTCAAGGCTTATGATCATGAAGGAATGTTGAATTTTGTCAAAGCCTTTTTCTGACTATATCAGAAATCATGTGATTTTTATCCTTGATTATATTTGTGTGCTGTATTACATTTATTGATTTGTTCATGTTGAATCATCCTTGTATCCTTGGAATGAAACCAGCTTGTTTGTGATGTATCAGCTTTTGAACTTGGTTTGCAGTATTGTGTTGAAAAGTTTTGCATCTGTGTTCATCAAGAATATTGATCAGTACTTTTTTTGGTCTCAGGGCTTCATGAAATGAGTGTGGAATCATTCTTTCTCTTTCTATTTTATGGAATATTTTGAGAAGCAATGGTGTTTAAAGATTTGGTAAAAGTCAGCAGGGAATTAATCCAGTATTGGTTGTTATTGACCTGTTCAGGGTTTTTAAAAAATAATCTCTTTGTTCAATTTTTGAAGGACGTATGTGTCTAGAAATTTGTCCATTTGTTCTAAATTTTTTTTCTAGTATTGGATACTGAACTTACAGCCTCAGTGGCAGGCACATACTCTACTACTTGAAATATATCCTCAGTCTTTTTTTTTTCTTTTAGTTTGTTTTTCATAGAGGGCCTTGTGCTTTTGCTTGGGCCAACCTTGGACCATGATCTTCCTACCTCTGCCTTCTAAGTAGCTGAGATTGCAGTGCTGCATCACCATGCCCAGCTTGTTTTTGAGATAGGGTTTCACTAACTTTTGTCTGGGATGGCCTTAAACCATGATTTTCCTATGTCTACCTCCCACGTAGCTGCTTCTAGATTTTCAAATTTATTGGGATATAAATTTTCAAAATAATCCCTAAGGATGTTCTGGATTTCAGTAATATCTGTTGCAAATTTCCCTTTTTTATCTCTAATTTTTTCAATTTGGGTCTTCCTCTTTTGGTTAATATGTCTAAGAGTTTGTCAACTTCATTTATATTGTCAGAGAACAAACTCTGCTTTATTAATCCTTTGTATTATTCTTTTGATCTCTATTTTGTTAATTTCAGCTTTGATCTTTATTATTTCTTTCCTTTTGGTTTTGGGTTTGGCTTATTCTTGTTTTCTAAGAACTTGAGATGGGTCATTAGTTTATTTGAGATTTCTCTGATTTTTCGATGTAGGCGCTCATAACTATAAATTTCTATCTCACAACTGCCTTTGCTGTAGCCTACAGATTCTAATGTGTTCTATTTTTGTTTTCATTTGACTGTAGGAATTTTTTAATTCCTCCCTTGATTTCTTCAATGACCCACCGATCATTCAAAAGTGTTTTGGTCGATTTCCCTGTGTTTGTATCGTTTCTGTTACTGTTGATTTCTAGTTTTATTATATTATGATCTGATAAAATACAATAAATTATTCTAGTTTTTTAATTTGTTAAGACTTGCTTAATGTCCTAAAATAAAATCTATTTTAGAGAAAGTTCCCTGAGCTGCTGGGAAGAAAGTGTATTCTGTACCTGTTGGGTGGGATATTCTGTAGCTGTCTTTTCAGTCCATTTAATCTATAGTGTAGTTTAATGCTGATGTTTCTTTATTGACATTTTTTTTTTGCCTAGAACAGTCTTAGAATCACCTGATTCCCTGTGTTTAAAACACATTCTGCTTAAATTAACTAGAGAGACTGCTATTATCTTCAACTGAGCCATGAAATACACACACACACACACACACACACACACACACACACACACTAACATACAGAAAATATCTCCTTTCTTTTCCAGTTTCTGAGATTGAACATCTTCTTTGAATTTTTATTAGTCTTGGGGAACTGCCTTTTGTAATCTTTGGAGTTCCTTTTTAAAAGACAGCTCTTTCTGAAAATTGATTCATAAGAAGTGTCACATTGGGAATAGTAATAGTAAAAAAGTGTTTGCTTGTCTGTTCTATTTTTCCCTCAGTAGATCACTTCATTTTTGGCCCAGAGATGGTTTTTCTAGCTATTCTGTAGTGATAGGAAAATTCAGAGAAACCAGTCTTCCTGTGTCTCCATGTGGGGGATGTCCTTGATGCCTCATATTCTGCAGTGAAGTTAGAATTGATGGTGACTTCTGGCTGTGCGTGTGTGTGTGGCAGGGCTTTGTGGCTTTGCAACCTAGCTCTGAAAACTATGGGATCCCAGTGAAAACTTAAGGAGTTTATTGTGTTACTCTCCTTTAGAGTGTATATTTTATCCCTTTAGATGTCTTACTTTAGGAATGTTTTATCTTGCTTTTCTTCTCAAAACTGTTGTGTCTCCCAGTCTGTGTGTGAAGCTGTTTTTGTAAATGTTTTGCTTTTAAATATCCCTTTTGAATTTCCTTTATCTAAAATAAAGTTACCTTTGTCATTCGTCC